GGACAGAGGTACATGGGGGTGACACTCACCTCTCCCCGCAGCTGAAGTGCCAGGGAGAGCCCTTCAGCAGCGACAGCGACAAGCTCTGCAACCCCGCGGGTGTCTTCTTCCCCGCCTTCCGCGTCAACCGGACCAGCGAGAGGAAGGAGGTCATGGTGGCCATGTACAAGCTCTTTGCCTTCCTCAACGCCTCGCTGGGGAACATCACAGAGGACCAGGAGGGGCTCAACCCCACAGCCAAGGAGCTCCTTGACAGGCTCCACAACACCACCAAGACCACTCGGGGCCTCATTTCCAACCTCACCTGCCTCCTCTGCAAGAACTACAACATCTTCCAGGTGGACGTCAGCTATGGGGAGAGCTCAAAGGGCAAAAAGACCTTCAAGAAGAAGCAGCAGGGCTGCCAGGTGCTCAGGAAGTATGTGCAGGTCATCGCCCAGGCCGCCCATATCCTCCTACCTCATCTCAGCCCATTGTGAGCACCTGCCCTGGCTCCTCTGCCTGCCCCGTTGCCCCACTTGCTGCCTCCTGATCTTCCTATTTATTACCTTGGACCTTGTGCTGGCTCCACCTGCCCTCTGGTAATTTATTTGCTCCAAACCTTGCAGCCTGGTGTGTCCTGAGCGGAGCAGACCCCGGGGCTGGCATCCAGCAGGACGAGGTGGTGCATCCCTGAGGTGATGCCGGGGCACAGGCAGCTCCCGGGATGTGCCTCAGCTGTCCCTGTGCTGCCCCGGGTGCGGGGAGCTGTGGGTGCTGCGTGGAGCTGGTGGCAGGGCCGGGCTCTGTCTCCCACGGCCTGTCTGCTCCACCATGGAGATGAACCTGGTGGATGTTGCTGAGCATCAGCAGAAAGCCTCCCGAAAAGGAGTGAAGATGAAAGCTGCTGGGAGGCTGCAGCTGGCAGGGGACGTGGGACGGTGACACGGCGACACACAGACCTTGGGGACACAGGGACACGCTCCCCCCCAGATCTGAGGGTACTGGGGTGGCCACAGCGGCTGGGGCTGGGTCCCAGCGCCTCGGACAGGGGACAGAGGCACGGGCCACCCCACCAGGGAGCACTGTCCCCCCGCGCGGGCACGGCGGGGCGCGCAGAGACCCTCCCTCCCTCCCTCCCTCCTGGGAAAATGCTTTTCCCC